TTATTATTATTATTATTATTATTATTATTATTATTATTATTATTATTATTATTATTACAGAGCAATATTATTACTATTGCTCTGTCATACAACTTTAGATCAGGGATGGAGATACCTCCAGATGATCTGTTGTTGTACAGGATTGTTTTGGAAATTCTGGTTTTTAGTTTTTCCAATGAAGTTTATAATTTTTCTCTCAAGGTCTTTAAAAGTTGTGTTGGTATTTCGATGGGAATTGCACTGAATCTGTATATTGCTTATGGCCAAATGGCCATTTTCACTATGTTAATCCTACTGATCCATGAGCATGGGAGATCTTTCCATCTTCTGATATCTTCTTCGATTTCTTTCTTCAGAGACTTGAAGTTGTTTTCAAAGAAGCCTTTCACCTGCTTGGTTAGAGTCACTTATGTTATTAATGGCTTTTGTGAAGGATGTTGTTTCCCTAATTTCTTTTTCAGCCCTTTTGTCTTGCGTATACAGGTGGCCTTCTGATTTTTTTAATTAATTTTGTATCCAGCCACTTTGCTGAAGGTGTTTATCAGCTGAAGAAGGAGTTCTCTGGTTGAATTTTGGGGGTCACTCTGGTATACTATCATATCATCTGCGAATAGTGAAACATTGACCTCTTCCTTTCCGATTTGTATCCCCTTGATCTCCTTTAGTTGTATTATTGCTCTAGCTAGGACTTCAACTACTATGTTAATGAGATACAGAGAGAGTGGGCATCCTTGCCTTTTCTCTGATTTCAGTGCGATTGATTTAAGTTTCCCTCCATTGAGTTTGATGTTGATATAGGTTTGCTGTATATTGCCTTTACTATATTTAAGTATGTGCCTTGTATTCCTAATCTCTCCAAGACTTTAAACATGAATGGGTGTTGGATTTTGTCAAATGCTTTTTTGACATCTAAGGAGATGATCATGTGGTTTTTCTCCTTCAGTTTGTATATATTGTGGATTACATTGATGGATTTCCATATATTGAACCACCCCTGCATGCCTGGGATGAAGCCTACTTGGTCATGGTGGATGATATGTTTGATGTGTTCTTGGATCCAATTTGCAAGTATTTTATTGAGTGTTTTTGCATCAATGTTCATGAGAGATAGGTCTGAAGTTCTCTTTTCTTGTTTTGGTATCAAGGTGACTGTGCCTTCATAGAAAGGCTTTGGTAATGTTCCTTCTGTTTCTTTTTTGTGGAATAGTTTGAAGGTATTTGGAGTTATCACTTCTTCAAAGGTCTGGTAGAATTCTGCGCTGAAACCATCTGGCCCAGGGCTTTTTTTTGAAAGGGAGACTGTTGGGGGTTATAGGGCTATTCAATCTTTCTACATGATCTTGACTTAATTTTGGTAGATGTAATCTATCAAGAAAATTGTCCATTTCATTTAGATTTTCAAATATTGTGTCATATAGGCTTTTGTAGTATGACCTAATGATTGTTTGGATTTCCTCAGTGTCTGTAGCTATGTCTTCTTTTCATTTCTGATTTTGCTGATTTGGATAGATTCTCTCTGCCTTTTAGTTAGTTTGGCTAAAGGTTTATATATCTTGTTGATTTTCTCAAAGAACCAGCTCTTGGTTTCATTGATTCTTTGAATAGTTTTATTTGTTTCTAATTGATTGATTTCAGCCCTGAGTTTGATTATTTCCAGCCGTCTGCTCCTCTTGGGTGCATCTGCTTCTTTTTTTTCCCTAGGGCTTTCAGTTGGGCCATTAAGTTGCTTGTATGAGATGTTACATATTTCTTCTTGAAGGCACTTAGTGCTATGAATTTTTCTCTGAGCACTGCTTTCAATGTGTCCCATGAATTTGGGTATGTTGTTCCTTCATTTTCATTGAATTCTACAAAGTCTTTAATTTCTTTCTTTATGTCTTCCTTAACCCAGCTGTCATTGAATAGCAAGTTGTTCAGTTTCCATGTGTGTGTAGGCTTTTTCTTATTTCTGTTGTTGTTGAGGTCCAGCTTTAGTCCATGGTGGTCAGATATAATACAAAAGATTATTTAAATCTTCTTGTATCTGTTGAGACTTGCTTTGTGACCAACTATATGGTCTATTTTGGAGAAGGTTCCATGAGGTGCTGAAAAGAAGGTATAGCCTTTTGAGTTTGGGTGAAAAGTTCTGTAGACATCTATTAAGTCTATTTGAATTAGGGCCTCTGTAAGTGCCTTTGTTTTCTGTCTAGATGATCTGTCCCTTGGTGAGAGAGCGGTGTTGAAATCTCCCACTATTAAGGTCTCGGGATCGATGTGTGATTTAAGCTTTAATAATGTTTCATAATGCTTAATAATGTTTCATAATGTTTAATAATGCTCTTGTACTTGGGGCGTAGATGTTCAGAATTGTGATGTCCTCCTGGTGGTTTTTTCCTTTGATGAGAATGTAGTGTCCCTCCTCATCTTTTTTGATTAATTTTGGTTGAAAGTCTATTTTATTAGATATTAGCATAGCTATTCCAGCTTATTTTCTGGGTCCATTTGCTTGAAAAAACATTTTCCAGTCCTTTACTCTGAGGAAGTATTCATCTTTGTTGCATAGGTGTGTTTCTTGGATGCAGCAGAATGTTGGATCCTGTTTCCACAACCATTCTGTTAGTCTGTGTCTTTTTATTAGATAGTTGAGTCCATTGATATTAATAGATAATACTGACCAATGAACATTAGTTCCTTTCA